GCTTCTTGCGGGAGTACTTTACTTTACAATTGCATCAAATTAAACTTACATGAGTTACCTCTAAAGTTTGTAAGTTGATCTTAATGAGGACACTTGCACTAAGCTATATTGCATTATATCTTTAAAATGACTATAATTTATTCATCAAATAAATTTAGGTAAAATTTTTACCCAAATATATGTTTTGAAAATGTCATACAGTAATTTTAATGTAAATCATATTTCTAAATTTCCTTTACTCGGAAAAGTTATATTCAAACAATAATTCCGTTTATTTTGAAACAAAAAAAAAGTTACCTTTTTTAATTCGGATAATACTTATAACTGCAATCATGTATACAAAAAAAAAACTTTTTTTTTGTTTTTTTCTTACATGATTTAGTTTATTGAAAGATTTTGTACACTTTATTCTTGAAAACTTACTGGATAATTGAAAAAAGAGTAAAGCGTTTCATATGGAACAAATATCTATAAGTATATGAACAAAGCTTTCGAGAAAAAATGAAGAGAAATTAATTTTACTAATAAGAACTTCATATCCTGATATTTAATGAAAAATCAGGAAGACGCGTTTTGAGAATATCAATTACTAACGTTTTTTCTTATCTAATGTTGACATTCCAGTTTTTTATTTTTCATTTTTTCTCTTTTTATCCAATAAATTGGCAGTAAATTTTCTTTAACTTTCGCATGGTCAGTCATGTTTTTGTCCTGATGATAAGTATGTTTTTTTATGCTCTGAAAATATGTGCACTACAGTACCTGGAGATTTTGCTACCATCATTTTCCGATGAAATACTATCCATCTTTTAGATTTCTGTTGAATGTTTTCGGAAATAAACTATAGTGTTCTATACTACGAGAGTTAATTGATGCGTTACATTAGTTGATATAAAGGTTACGCGGTCAACCATCTATATAGACAATTATTATTATTATTATTATTATAAATATATATATATACACTGGTGTGCAAAACTTAAGCAACAAGTGCGTTTTTTGTCATAACTCTACAAGAAATCATCCGATTGACATGAAATTAGAATATGATGTACATTATTTTGTACTTAAACGATGGTAAAAGAATAATGGCGCAGAAATGAATATAAAGCTTAAAGTAGGGTATGGAACAAAAAAAGGCTTTATTTGACATATAGTGGCGTTACACATGATTGCCTGAAGAAGCGTAAGTACAACTGGCAGATGTTCCCTAGTATGGGATATGCCCTCCCCTTACTGTAATTGTTGCTTGGCATCGTCTCTCCATGCTAAGCACCAGATTATCCAGGAGTTCTTGGGGTAAACGTCTCCATTCCTCCTTTAACGCATCTTTCAGCTGATGGGTGTTACCAGGAGGATACTGTCGTGTCGCAAGACGTCTCCCTAATGCATCCCACACATGCTCTATGGGATTTAGATCTGGAGAGTAAGCTGGCCAATCCATTCGTGTGATATCTTCACTTTCCAGTAGCTCTTGAACATTAGCAGTACGGTGTGGCCGGGCATTGTCATCCATAAAAATGAAGTCTGGTCCAATGGCCCCTCGGAACAGACGCACATGGGGTAGGATTACCTCATTGCAGTAGCGGTCTCCAGTTACAGAACCTCGGTCGAAGATCTGAAGCTCAGTCCGCCCGTTCAACATAATGCCACCCCAGACGACAACTCCAGGACCACCGTAACGATCTCTTTCCGCGATGTTATTGGGATGAAATCGAGCTCCAACCTCTCTCCAGATCAACTGACGTTGAGAATCGCTTGTAGCACTAAAACGACTCTCATCTGTGAAGAGGACGCGACTCCATTGATGAGGTGTCCAGGTTTCGTGTTCTCTGCACCACTCTAAACGGTGCCGCCGATGGCTAACTTTTAAAGGTATGCAGCGTTCAGGACGTCTAGCAAATAAGCCACCTTTGTGGAGGCGTCTGGCCACTGTAAATCTTGATACTTGTCGTCCTGTGGCTGTGCACAGTTGCTGAGATATGGCGCTCGCTGACTGAAAACGGTTTCTTTTCGCCTGGAGGACAATGTAACGGTCATCTCTTGGTGTTGTTTTCCTTGAACGGCCACCACCAACTTTCCAAACAGTTGTACCAGTAGTTTTAAGGGCATTCCAAGCACGAGAAACAACACTTTTGTTGATCCCGAACTCTTCGGCGACACTGGTCACACTACGCCCCTCCTCAAGCTTCCCAATCATTCTTCCTCGAGTAAAGTCATCTAAATGATTTCTTGAAGACATGTTTCACAAAACAAATCACTTGCACTTGCAGCGAATGTCTTTAACTACGGTGCTCTTCATCCTTTTATCACAGCTTTGACCTGCGCGCGCCGACCCACAAGGTTTACGTACACTTACATCACCTACGACGTTTTATTTCTAAAATTTTCATACAAATAATCTTTCTACTGAATTACGTGCATATTATACTGCAATTTTATGGCCATCTTATACTTTGTTGGGGAGCTGTGGCCGGAACACCACTTGTTGCACACCAGTGTATATATATATATATTACAATTATAGATGAATTAGAAATGTAATAAATAAAGGGTGATATTTAGGTAATTAGGGTCATGAATGACTCTTTAGCCTTACATTGTTTACATAATTTTGTCTGATTTAATAATAAGATATTTCTCTGTAAATAAAGTACTTTACTAATTTGATGCTTATTCTACACATCATAGTTTTCAAAACTGACTGAACACTTCAAATAAAAAATAAAAATAAAAAAAAGAATTGTTAACTGAATAAAATCAACTTAATATTGAAAAAATCTTCGTTTCAACATAAAAAAAATTTATCATAAGCACTTTTTATTTCACATTTCCGCAACTTTTCAATATTTTTTTATTTAAGAAAAATTTGAGAAAATTTATATTTTTAAATAAAAATTGTTGTTAAAAAATATAAATTTCATAAAATTATTTCTGCAAAATTAAATGATCTATCATGAGTCTGTTTATACCCTTCATTCTATTCTATAACGTTAGAAGTAATTTTATCCAGAAAATTATGGGATGCGAAGTTGAAATTTACACTTTATATTAAATCATTATATTTAGTAAAATCAAGTTTTTGAAGGATTAAGATCCAATAAGAATATCTTAGAGATATCCGAATTATATATATATAATTGATATCAGGAAGAAGTCCCTTAAATATCAATGTTATAGGCTGGATAACTCATGAATATCCGTGATAAGTCATATACAACCGTCTGATAGACCATTTCCTTGAATGTTCAGATATCTTGGAGATCTCTATTGGATTCGGGCATATACAGCTTTTTTGCATAAGAGATAACCTTTGGAAATATTTTCGGCTGTGTGGTGCAAAGAAAGTCCATTTTAATTGACTTTCCCTGACATATTGCATAAGTTGGAAAAGCAATATTAATTCAAAATGTCCTAATGTCCACGTATACCCATACATATTCAGACTTCATGTATCCAACTACAGAAACTAAGGGACCCTGGCAGAACTATTAAGTAACACTATAACTTCTTTATTTAGGTATCGGATATTTTTGGCCAAATAGTGTACCTTGCTTTCATTAGCGTGTTAAGGAAGTTACTCGCTCAAACGTTTAGCGATAATGTAAGTGCAACCAAGGTTTTATTTATTTATTGTTACACATATACTTGCTTGTAAACTTAATTTGAAGACAGCTCATGAGCCATTGTCAATCAAAGAACATTCAGATATCGCAAATTTGAGAATAATATTACAAAGATACATTTAGAATTACAGTGGGATTCGAAAGCGCTACCTCATAACTACACAGCGTTTGGTGGATTGACGAAACCACTTGGTCGGGGTGGGCCCTAGAGGTGTTTAAGAGGGATATCTAAGAAGTCATTCTTACTGCATGCTGATTTCCACATGCTATCGGGCACAAATATGCTTAACGCATGCGCAAGTAGTTCTTACATGAAGTTTATGAACATACGATCGCAACACTCGAGTCCCGCAGTGGACTGATCGTTAAGACACGGTTCCCAGCAGATCACCGAAGTCAAGCATCACTGGCTACGGTCAGTGTGCGGGCACTTGGATCAGTCTGCGAAGGGACAGAGGGTGTGCGGTATTGGTCCTCGTTAAACTGTGCTACCGTAAAGTGCTCGACTTCGCGTGCAGGTCGTCGGGCTACCGAAGTGGGGGTGCCATCCCCTCCGCAGAGGATCAAAATTGTGATGGCATGTCTTCGGATCATCCTCCGGGATGTTTCCCAGACCGTCGCCAATTGCCCATTGTGCAGCTCTAGTGCGACGCAAATTAACAACAACAGCAGCAACGCTCGAATACGCCATCTGGGGAGAAAGCCGGTTCCGAGCCTTTGGCCCTTCCCTCTTCTCCTCTTTTCCGTTGACTACGGACTCAGCTGACTGGAATTTACTACGATATTTCTCCTTTTCTTAATATTTTTCGTTTTTAATTAATAAAAATGTTTTTTAAAATTTCCATGATGCTTTCTTTTAGAACTATGTTTGATGTAGTTTTCAGTTCCATATAATTTTCCAACTTAAAAGATTTTAATCTATATGAAAATCAAGATACAAACTAACGTATTTCCTTCTTCTATGACTCTCCACACGCTAATGGTGAAAGCATGCAAAATGCTGCCACTAGCCCATTTCGATATATGTGATTATATTTCGATATTCGATATATGTGATTCATTATATGTGATTATTCACTGTGTGTATCACTATGTGTTTGTACTCCTGAATATGCGAACAGTTTCCTTTTTTCATTAATTTCACAACACTCGCACACGTGAAACATCTGCATACTATTCTATTTACATTCCGAGATCCTATTCGGGAAAGCACAAACGCAAAATAGTTAAAAGTACAGTGAAAATTGTCCCTAAGTAATGTATTATATTTTAATCACAAACTTGTCAAAACTGGCATCAATATCTGTGCAAACGGAAGCGTTTCTTTAAGTTTTTTCAGTATTTTTAGTTGAGTCAGTTTTTGTTCGTGTTACAGATATTTATTATCAACTGAAAAGTTGCAATGAAATCGCTGCCAACACATTTTCGTTCTTAAAACTGGGCCCACTGTTGTCAACAAACAGAAACTCTATGATTGCCGTATTTAGAAAATTCCTAAGTGTCTAATAAAAATTTCTGTCATGAAAGTTTAAAATTTTTTTAGAAGTTCTTTATTTTATGAAATGGGGTTATTTGGAAAAAATGAAAAAGATCCGAAAGATCAGGTCTGTGTTACACAAACACACGAAAATGTTTATCTGTTATGTGAACTGATCTAATACAATTTTATCACCTTATATTAGTTAAAAGTTAACAAATTTTTAATAAATCATCTATTTAAAGTTACTTTAAATATGTTTTAGTGGATGCGTTACGAACTGACTCTTTTCACCATTTCAGAACCAACATAATTAGATTATTCTTAGTTGTCTAATTAAATTAATACCTAATGTTCTAAGCATTGTTTGTAGTTTCAAAAGAAGTCGGAGATAAAGCGTTGTTGGTTTTGATTTATGTAGTTTTTATTTATAGTGATAAACCTCATTAATCATTCTCTCCTAAAAAATTTTTAGTGTGCAACTTTATTTTATATTGTATCATTTGGAATTTGTTTTGTCAATGTATATAAAAATAACTTGCCTGCGAAACATATTTCTTTATATGTTTTGTCAACATATAAAAAATAACTTACCTGTTAAAAATATTTCATTTATACCCTTTGGTAACTTTAGAATCTGATAAACATCCTATATTCTACTATGATCTAATTCTATTTATTTAACTAGCTTGTTTTCGAAATAATCACAGGGATTTAAAATTTTCGAACATGTCAATCCAAAAGGTAATCGAATAATCACTTGTTTGATTCTTTTGTAGGTGTTCAGTGCCTAATTGATGATTTTCAAAATATTTTGAAACAATTCTGTTATTAAAATGTAAATTAATTCAAATGTATAAGTGATAGACGTAATCTTAAAAGCAAAAACATCTGTGTTTTGCTTTATAACTAAAGTAGACTTCTGGTTATCTTTCAGGACTAGGTAAATTTGAAGAAATCAGATCTGTTGGCTAAGCAGATTTTTCTACTTTTTAAACCTATATTTTTTAAAAGATATTATTACATTTCTGTGTTATAGAATTCATTTGGGCTTGGGCATAAACTTGATAAGATCAGTTCTTTGGTGTAAACGCACTATATCTCAATCATATGATTGAAGGCTATTCATTAACTGTTATTTATTAGTATTTTTAAATTATTTTTTTATGTATATTTTTTGCATGCACATTAATATACGTAGTTATTGCAATTTCTTTTGACTTTTTCTTTGTTTTGTTATACATGACAAAATATTGATCCAAAAAAATGTTTTTAGGTTAAACAATGGACGTCTACTTTACGAAAAGAAACCTATCAGTTGGAGCGTCAAATCAGAGGTGTGTACCACTAATACTAATAATCTGGTTTTTTTTAAATTGCAGAGAGAGATCAAGAAGGTATAGTAAAGGGTTTGGCAAACATTATCATTGAGGAATCAATATCTTTAAATAATATAAATTCAAATTTAAAATTATTTTGCTTCAGTTTTTTTTTTTTTTTTTTTTTTTTTTTTNAAACAACAGAGTCCACGAAACAATTTTGTGGACTCTTATAATCAATCATATACAGGTTTTTTAAAATCCTAGCAAAAGTGAATGTATGTATAATTGTAGTACTCCTAGTATGCTATTAATGGTTTTATGGATCCTGAAAATTATCTTTATATTGTCATCAAACTGATTAATAGTCATTTTAGTTGAGATAAACTAAGTCAAAAAATAATTTTAGTTGAGACAAACTGAGCCAAAAAGAGATTTTAACTGAGACGAAATGCAATTTCTGGTGAGACAATTTGATATTTTGCGAGTAGCATCCCTGATTGAGGAATCAATATCTTTAAGTAATATAAATTCAAATTTAAAATTATTTTGCTTCAGTTTTTTTTTTTTTTTTTTTTTTTTTTTTTTTTTTTTTTTTTTTTTTTTTTTNAATTTTTTTTTTTTTTTTTTTTTTTTTTTTTTTTTTTTTTGCCAAAGCAAAAATTTTTTTTAAGGCTGTCTTCTTGATTGTTTGAAAGATTCCCATAAATATGCTGCAAAGAAATTAGTGCAGACAAATTACGAAAACAGACACAAAAAAGTACTTTCTTTGAATAAACTTTCTTTTTTTTTCGACAGATTCGAATTTTTGTCCTATATATTTTGCTACCAAAATGTAGGGGGAATCTGGGAAATATGATCCCAATAGTTTGATCAGAACAACGGTTCACAGTTTGGACCCTTAACGTTAATTTGGCTTTGTGATTATTTCGCCATATCTCAAGAACTTTATAAGCAAATTGAAGCATTTTTGCCCACAATTATAAAATTTGTTTATCCAAAGATAATATCATGCAAAAAATAAATTTTAGTAATTATTTATTATTTTATTTAATAATGGTTAAAAATATTTTGAATTGTAAGGTATACAATTTTCTAGACCATTTTAAAGTATGTAATTTTATAAAGAAAAATACAAATTTGAAAGATATTGTTCAAATAGTTTCTGAGAAATTGAATTTTAAAAACACATCTTTTTTTAAAATTTGTTTTCTGAGTTTGACTAATTTTGCTCATATTTATTATTTCAACATACAGAATTATATTCTTTTAAAGGATGTAAAAAAATTTATACCTCGTTATTCAAAATCTTTTTGACTGTTACTAAATAAAATAATAGAAAATAAAAAAAATATTTATATAGTTATTTTTTGCATTAAATTAATTTTTGGATGAACAAGTTTTGTATTTGTAGAAAAAACTTTTCAATTTGTTCTGAAAGTTTTCGAGATTTAACGAAATACGCAGAAAGCAAGCGCAGTCCAAACTTTATGCCTCTCTTTTGACCTAATAATTGAGATCAAATTTCCCAGATAGTGACCACCCTTCGTATTTTGGAGTCAGAAATTTTAATATGTCAGGAAAAAAGGGTAATTTTATACTGAGAAAGAATGCTTTTGTGTCTGATTTTGCAACTTACTATATTGTCTTCACTAATTATCTAGCATATTTAAGGTTACCCCCTCGAACCATTAAAAATAAATCTTAGAATGTGAAGATCTGACATTGAACAAAAGTTATTTAAGATAGTACTTTTTTTTTCGCACAGTTCATCAATCTTTGCCTTTTACTAAGAGTGGTTATGAATAAAAAATTTTGCCATGGTATTTTCAACTTGAAGAAAATAAGACATCAAAACCAGTAAAAATTTCTTGTTATTACCAATTTTTATGCTATAACTCTTCTATTAAATACAGAAAATTGCTCTCATGAAGACACCTGACATTATCTGAGTGTATTTCTTTTAGTTTTTAAATATATATATGTATAAGTAAATTCTAATTAATAAAAAAATGTGTGCCCCCACTAAAATTTCCCTCACGCTACGCCTATGGGTGTCATTCAAATATTATAAGAATGCTTTTGATAATTTAACAACAAAAATAAGCAACGCGTAAACCCTCTACCATGCTTATGTAAAAATGTCATAATATCCCCTTGCTTTAACTTTGATTTTTTTTTAACTGAAGCAATCTAAATTTAAAATTAAATTCAAATGAACAACTTTGTATAAGATAAAATTCATGTTTCAAAACATTTTATGAAATTTTGAATAGAATATTCCTTAGGAATCTTTTCTGTTTTCTTTCAGTCATTAAAACACTTGACCTCTGAAACTCATAGAGGAAATTTTGGTCTAACTTTTTTTTCTTCTTCCAAACTTAACTCTTATTCCGAAATTAAAGTTTTTCCTTGTGTATTTTTCCCAAAGGTTTTTGTTATTTTTTTCATGTTAAGAGGATTTTTGAAAATATTGTGGTTTTGATGTCTTAATGTTTACATTGCTCATGCTTAACATCTTACTCAAACATTGTTTATTTTTGTTACATAGTTTCCTGGTACTTTGTTTTCAAGCAACTCTATAAGAGGTAACTGCAAGACTAGCACGATATTGTTTATTTTAATGAAAGTTTAAGAAAGAGTAAAATTAATAAACTTTTTTGCAATGATACCAAAGTTTTGTGTAACCGAACTCTTAGCTTGCTGAATACACCAAAAAAAATTTTCAAATTTAATGAAAAGTTCAATTATGGTGATAAATATATTCAAGATAATAAATGTGTGAGTAATGAATTTAAATACATAATAATATAGAGGGGAAATAGCTACATAGATAAGCGTGAATAATAATAGTTAAATAATTTTTAAAAAAAAAATTATTTTATTTTTTTTGTTCATAACTTTACATACATAAGGCCAAAAACAAAATAGGAAACAAAAATTTATTGAATATTAAAGATTTAACTACTTATGCAGTGGTATTACTTATAAAAAAGTTTTTTTAAAAACAAAACAAGCTAGAGATTTTTCCAACATTTTTTGATTTTTCAGGTATTCAGCGTGAAGAAGAAAAAGTTAAGCGTTCATTGAAAGAGGCAGCAAAGAAGGGAGATGCTGATGTTTGCAAAATATTAGCTAAAGAAGTGATCCGCGCTAGAAAATCTATAAATCGCATTCATACCTCTAAAGCACAGATCAATTCCGTTATGATGAGTATGAATCACCAGTTAGCCACATTAAGAGTAGCTGGATCCATTGAAAAAAGCACAGAAGTCATGAAAAGCATGCAGAATCTTCTGAAACTTCCAGAAATTTCAAAGACAATGCAAGAAATGTCGAAAGAAATGATGAAAGTAAGTTTAATATATTGATCAGTCTGAAAAATGTATTTATAATATAAATTTATCTTAAAGGGACAATTTCAAAATTGGTATTTAACACTCGGACGGCCGAATATTCGGTATACCCAGAACGGCCATAAGCGGTCAAATTGACCGATCCTTAGAAACATTGATAAAAATTGAATGTTAAGGTATATTAGGTTAGATATTGTTATTTTCATGTTGTTCTCATATGAATCATAGTATAAAATATTTAATTTTATTCATTTATTGGAGAAAAAGAACATATTGAGTTAGTGGTTAAATGATGAAAAATAATTGTACTAAAATAAGATTTAATGCATTTTAACTCTTTTTAAACACAATAAGAGGTTTTCGGGCTAATATCCATTTAATATTTATTATGTTACAATCATTATTTAATTGTGATATCTATATATTAATAGGCTAGCAATATTTTGTCTCGCTAAAAACTCCCAAACTACGCAACAGAATTAAACAAATAAGGTGTCGTTTTAAAGGTATTGTTATGTAGATGTGCAATAAGGTCTTAAATTATGAAAATTTCCTTTAATTAATTAATAAAATTAATAATTTAGTTTCAACCAATGAGAATTCAGCAAATCATTTTTCGGGTGGTTCGCATAAGCATTGTTTCCGTAAGCATCGTTTGATTTAAAGCATTTCTGAATTAATAGATTGATAAACAAAAATAAGAGTGGATAAAAAAAACGGAACTGAATTTCTTAAAAAAAGAATTCAATATCTTTAGTTCCTTTGATAAATTTTTAGTTTCATGATAAATTTTTTGTTTCGTTACAATAGAATGGCAATGGCATCGTGCGAATATTCAAACCAAAACAAACGTGCGAATATTCAAACCAAAACAAACTTTCTACAAACAATTATTTTGATTTGAGATTTAAAACGATATCTTAGTTATTTAGTTCTATTTTTATTTATTTAGTGCCTGCTGCCTAAATAAAATGCCTGCTATCAGGCGTCGAAATATCTCTGGCAGACGTCAGAGAAATGAATGGCGGAATTCTAAACGGGAAAGCATTTCTTATTGAGATATATTCTCTGCTACAGCTCCAAATTTCTCAGCTACATGAAGAAAAGATAATCAAATTGTGAAGGGGGCAGAGAAGTGTATAAATTTCATTAAGTAATTGATTTCAATATCTGGCATTTTTATTTTAAAATTTAAATTTGTTAAAATGTTTTTATAAGATTGCGAAGCAATATGCAATGGAACTGCGAAGCAGTTCTGGGGGTTGGCGAGCGTAGCGAGCAGGGGGCGGAGCCCCCTAGTATT